TGTTCTTGGAGTAATGTAATATATCAAAACTTTGTTCTAGGATTGGTGCAATATATCGAAACCTTGCTCTTGGAGTGATGCGATATATCGAAATCTTGTTCTTGGAACACCGTGCTATATCGCAATCATTAAACAGCAAAACTTACAATTTTGTATTTCTACCAAAACAGGGTAATTGAAAAATTCCATGAAAATTCCTATGAAAGTTGACCGAGTTTATAAAGTGCTGCATGAATACCGTGTTACAAGAATATCGCGTTATAAGAGAAACATCACAATGTTTACCACGTTACGTCGAAACCATCTTTCCAGGGACCCGATTTTCGAGTTCACACGATGAACTTTCGCATGCCAAATTGATAGTTCCGTATACGTCTTTCAAATTTTAACTAATGCCGCAAGTTCGTAACAATGGAAAGTTTTTCAGACGAATCTATTCGTATGGGAAAAAAATTCGTATGAACTGAAGAATTAGGCCCCAGGGTACCGAGTTACAAGAGGGCTCGAGGGGTTGTTCATTCAGAAATCAGTGAAAACGATTTCCTTCTTTGAGAACCGATTGCCTTTGATTTCGCATAACAAACAACAATGAAATTGAGTAATAAGTGACGTTCGATTTTAAAATTGTAAGAATATGTCGGTGATATCCAACGATTTCCAGTGATTTCCACGGGATTTCCAGCGTTAAAATCCACGATTCCCTGAGTTAACCCTTATCACTCCAACCGGAAGTAATGCTGCCAACTTCTAATACTCTTTTCTTATTGTCAAAGTGGTAAGGGTTAAGGTGAAGTGAAACCCCCTTCAAATCAGTCGATTCGAATACAACACTTCTTTTTAAGGGTATTAGACCAAACTGTCCGAAACTTTGACACATCCCTCCTGATCATCTAAGAATTGTCGTGACACATTCAAAATTTGGATTTTTTTTTTAATTTTTAACTCCGCCCAGACCAGAACCAAAATAACGTCGAGCTCTCATATTTCGATCAATATACAATCATCGAAGGCTCTGATATGAGAATCAAAAGGGTCAGGACAATTTTACGACAATTTAGAACACTCTGGTAATCGATAAACTCGCATTTGAACGGGATAAAGGCAAAAAAAGTGTTGTATGCGCTTCTATGCTAAAGGATGGGAATACAAGGTCTCGAAGTGAAAATTTAATTGACCTGGAAATCACAGATGGAGCAGGGGGTCCCTCTGCAGTCAATTAGGGCCCCAGAATGCATGAATCCAGAGGATTCTGGAGTTTTACTTCGATCTCTTTATAATTATCGTACGAAAACAACAAAAGGAGTATGCCATTTGGTACAATACCCAATATAATTCGACACAGCTATCAATAGAAAAACGAACGTCGGCAACGTAGGCATTTAGAAAAATCTTCTTTATCGACGTCGATGAAGTTCTTCGACGTGTTTCACTTCACCTTAATAACCTCTCGAGAAGGCTAGTACCACGCTTCGTTATATCAAAATCCTACATTAAACGTCAATAAAACATATTGCAGTTAACATAAGAGAGCACATACGATATGAGGAACTGCGTTAAGAAGATACGGTAATCAGAAAAGTCATAATTGTTTTTGACTCCCGTTCGCATTTAAGTCCAGCAACGCCTAATAGAGGTTACGAAACAAGAGATGAGCATCGAACCGAGTCCCTTTGAGCCTGTCCATCTAAATTCGCGACGAGTCCCCCAGAGTTCAAATAAATACCCCGAATTCGAAAAGGAAACTCGTCCCTCGTTTCATCGCGTACAAAACCCTCTTTCCCTGTGATAAGAAAGATTGCCGGATTTTTCCCCACATTTTTGTCAGCCAGAAGAAGCCTTCCCCCGGGAATGAATCACCGAGGCGGACAGACGATCGAGTTAATTGCAAGTTGAAGAATCAAGGGGCCTGGCGTCGCGACGCCCACGATCGCGGCCGGGCATTAAGACCCATCCTGGCCGATGGACGGGCTCCGAGGGCCGAGACAATGGACCGAGACCATCACGGCCGATGCAACTTAGAACCGGAAGTCCATAAAATGCAGCGGCCGGTGTCGCGTCACCGTGGTGCACGCAGTCCCCGAGGTGCAAGGTCGCCGACCTCGCTCGATCCATCCTCGTCCAGAGTGCTCCCCTCTTCCAGGGACTCCTCGGGATCCAGCGAGCGAGAAACGGGATGCGTCCGAGAGATGCCTTTTACCGGGGAAACCAGCTCTCGGTAATTGCGCTTACTTTCATTGCGCCATGTAGGTACGTCGCGGGCATTTTCTCTACTTCGTCGATAATCTCCAAATTCAAACATTTACCAACGATCAGCCCCAAAGAGAGTATGAGTTTTCATTGCTGCTCCTGCATCGATTCTTTTGGAATCGACACAGGAGCAGACTCTCAAAATTCCTATGGTTCCAACGAAAATCCGGCATTTTCGTGTAATTAGGGCGGAACATTTATTCATCTCTACCCAAAAACCTCCAGCCAGATGTGGGTTGAAATATCAAAGAAGTTACGCATGCCCGAAATAACACGAGGGCAAACTCCCGGCCGTATGTCCCACCCACGTACATGTACAATATCTACTGTACGCGTATATGATATTTACGGCATTTACGCGGAATATAACGTGTACATATATGTTTGCAAAAGCGCAAGCTTGCCGCAACTTTTCTCTCCGGGGGTCAGGCTTTGTCGGCGAGCTTTCAACGTCGTCTACGCGCAGCACAGTTGCAGCGGACTGACACTTCCTGGCACCGGGAGTGCATCGAAGGTTGCATCGAACTTTGCGTCGAACGTTACATCGAGCGTTACATCGAATGTTGCATCGAACGTTACGTCGCACGTTGCATCGAGCGTTGCGTCGAGCATTGCATCGAATTGTCGCATCGAACGTTGTATCGAACATTGCATCGAACCAACGATCATCGCACGTTGCATTGAACGTTGCGTCTGACGTCACATCAAACGTTACATTGAACGTTGCGTCGAACATTGCATCGAGCGTTGCATCGAGCGTTGCATCGAGCGTTGCATTGAACGTTGCATCGAGCGTTGCATCGAGCGTTGCATCGAGCGTCACATCAAACGTCACATCGAACGTTGCATCGAACGTTACATCGAACGTTGCATCGAACGTTACATCGAACTTTGCTTCGAACTTTGCATCGAACGTTGCATCGAACGTTGCATCGAACGTTGGATCCAACATCGGTGACGTAAATGCGAGCCACGGCACTGCGACCTGCGCAAGGTGGGCGCTCCTCTTCTTATCGCCCTTTCTAACCGGCCACTCCACGTGAAGACGACTCACGTTCTCGACGAAAAGATGTCAGATAAGCCCACTCGCCGATTGCGAATCGCGTGGATTTCCTCGCAGGCTGAGTCACTCCGAGATAAGCCATCATTCGATAAAATAAAGCCTAAAAAGTGGCCAAAATACCCAACAGAGATATTTCCCGCAATTCATTGGCACATTTGCCCTGTAATTTTTCATCCTACAACGAGATTTACCAAGGGGGTAAACTCAGGAAATAATGGATTGTTAAAATCACTCAGTAAATCATGGATTTTAAGGCGATGCGAGAGCGAGGTCAAAGAGTTCTCGTTTATGAAACTTTTATCCGAACTTAGTGTACCGAACCGATTCAAACTTGGGAGGGAGATGTCATTGATAATTTTCCTGCAGTGGTTTTTGGAAGATTTCTCGGACGGAAGACTTGTACTCATAGATAAGGTTTTGGACGTTTCCCCAAAAACATTTTACGAAATTTCCTGGTAAACTCAAGATTGCCTTTGATTTCATATAATAAACAATTAGATTCGGTCACAAGGGACGTTCCTTAAAATTGTGAGAACGTGTCGGTGATTTCCAACGATTTCCAGTAATTTTCTGCTTCCGATTTCCAGCTGATTTCCAACATTAAAATTCATGATTTCCTGAGTGAATACCCCCTAGGGAGATGCCATTGATAATTTTCCTGCAGTGGTTTTTGGAAGATTTCTCGGACGGAAGACTTGTACTCATAGATAAGGTTTTGGACGTTTCCCCAAAAACATTTTACGAAATTTTCTAATAAACTCTAGGGTGAAGAATTTCACCCTGCAGTCAACTCTCTTGTCCGTTAGTGTCGTTTCCCTCAGTTTGCCGAAAAATTTGCGAACGATCCGTTGGCATGGGTGTCCTTGCACCTTTACCTTGTACTTGCTTTGACGTCGATTACCCGACAAAGCCCGAGCCCGTGAGAGGCTCATCGGAATGCACCGTCATACGCCGGTGTATGCACTTATCTCGAGTGCAATTCTCGAATTCCGTATGGCCAGGGATTAATTTAATGGGACCCCAGCGTCTCCCAAGGAGCCGGGGTCTCACATAAGGGGGCATTCGGATCCTCCAACAAGGATAATACCCTCCTGCAGCCGTCGTGTATACCGGCAATATCCTGAGATAGTCCAACAAAGATGCGTTTGTGCATACACGAGATTGCGCGCGATACTCGCTGAATTAAACTGTCCTCTCTGTTCACCGGTGAAACGTATCGGATCGGTTGTGAAATGTCCTCCGAGCTTTCACGGATTAAAACAGATTTATTTGCAATTACGTTTAAATTTTAATTTAATTTACGATGGTATTCGGGGCAAACATGTTGGATGGCAACTATTTTTTTTTTTTGTATCACCAATTATTTATCTCGAATGGAAAAGCATGTATTTTTTAAATTAAAACGGTAATTTATAAACGGTATAGCGCGACAATACCAACTGATTTATTTTAGAAAAGCATAGATTTCGTTAACCTTGCCAAAGGGTTGATTAACTTCTAACTCTTAACAGCTAAAAGTTCAATGCATCGTTTGCATGGAAAACGTTAACATAAAATATAACATGAAAATAATATAAAACGTCAGCTATCATTACACATAATTTGTCCATCCCTTCAACCAGAATCCCTAACCGAATGAAACAAAGTCCGTGAGCTTAACAATACTCGAGGAATGGGGAAACGACACCTGTTACTTGGATAACATCGAAATGCACTTCGAGCACGCTTCCGTCGCAACGATACGATAAATATTCAGTTGTTTATCAAAACAGTTCTTTAAAAAGGACTCACCATGTTTACGCCGAAAGATCCTCTGTACCTCTCCAGCTTCGCTCCCGCTCTCGCTCTCGCTAAAGGCATTCCACTTGCGGGGGTTGACGGATCCTTTGACCCGGACAAATTCGCCCTCAATCCCAGGTCCAGGTCGGGTCTGGTCCCTGAGGCTGGTGCTGCGCCTCAGCATCCAGGAGGACTCCCTGGGTGGAGGCGGAAGTGGCCGATCTGCGTCGTACTCCGGCGTTTCTGTAGCGGACTTTGTCCCTTGGATCTCTCCGGGTCTCCCAAATGTCGAACCACCTCCCACCGGCAAGTTCCCATACACGTTGGTGTTGCTATTGTTCTGGTTGTCCGCAGTCTCCGGTTGCGAGAAACCACCTTCGCCCTCTCTGAGCCCAGCTTCCGGCTTGTTCCTCCTGGTGGGAGGTTCGGGAGCCATTCCGTGTTTGGTGGGCCAGATACCGACTTCCAGGGAAGAGGTCTGGTTGGAAAAGCTAACTCGCTTGGTCCCAATGGTCCCGTAGTCGACGGAACTGCTGGAGTTGCTGATAAGGCTGCCTCTTTTGAAGATCGGGGCCGGTGGAGGCTTCCTCTCGGTTCCCTGGTACTCCTCGTAAATGGGGGGTGTCTCGGACTTCCTCAGGGCAGCCACCGTGTTCTTATCACGACCGGACAGGAAACCCCCATCGTCCTGGTCAATCGGCTTTCTATGAGGTCCCAGACTGCGCCTCGGCTCGTCTCCTCTGACGAAGTGCGGCGACACACTCTTCGCTCTGGGCACCGGGTCCTGGCGATCTGGTTGGTTCTGGTCTCTGATGGGTTCCTGGATTGCCGGCTGCGGCCGCACAACCAGGACTGGCTGGTTCTGACCCTTCTGGCCCATGATGGGTGGCTTTCCGGTTGGGTTCTGCTTCGAACTCGGTAGTTTTCCACGCCAGTAGAGCTGATCCACGTTCCCGGGGACCGCGACCACGTTGGGCTGGGTCAGGCTTGGACTGGATCCGTGTCTTTGAGCGTTGGCGACATTTAGGGATACGGGAGGACCTTGGACTTTCCTCCTCGCGTAGATGGGGTCACCCCTCTCCTCGGCGAGGTTCTGCTCGTATATTCGCCTCTGCTGCTCCTCGTCCAGCTTCTTCAGCTGTTGCCAGTACATCGCTTCTCTGACTTCGGGCAGATCGACAATGACTTCGGTTTGAGAATTAGGATTCGTAGGAGAAGTCATGCTCTTTCTCTGAGCATCCAGGGCCTTCTGCTGCCAGTAGAAGGCCTCCAGGTGTTGCATGGTTTGGCGCTTAGACGGAGAAGTCTGTCTTGACGGGTGATGGCCGTAAATCGAGTCCGACGAACGTTGGCAGATACCTTGATCCGAGTGTTGGCGCTGTCCGTATATTGGCTCCTGTTGCGCGGAGTTTCGAGTCACGTAAATCTGGCCATCATGGAAATTTAGTTGTCGTGGCGAGTAAATCGTTTGCGACCTTGGTGATGGGCACTCTTGTGGTTGAGTACCGGGGTCAAGTTGTTGGGACGTGGGATGACCCGGTGGTCGCTGACCTCTCCCATCGGCACACATTGACTCGTGTCTGGGAAGATGTCTGGTATATCTGTCCATCTCGTGGTTCCTCTGCAAACCGCAGTTGTTTTGGTTCTCACACATACCGTGAGTTTTGGATTCGAGGTCCTGCGGAGCATGGCAAGTAGGATGTAACTGACAATGCGGCGCGTTACGATCTTGCTTAATGGGACCCAACATTTCCGCGCGTTCCATAGAGCCTGATCGAACAGCCATCCCTACCGGAGTGGAAGATCTTCTGGGGTTTTGCCTTTGAGCGTAGACAGGGATATCGGTTGAAGTGGTGGACGATGAACAGACGCTGATTCCAGGTGACACCGTTGATGCCTCATTGGGCAATACCTTTTGCACGGATTGTCCGTCATAGCCCTGGTCCAATTCAGGCGTATTTTTTATCCCGGAGTCCTCGGAAACGATGCCGGGAGATTTTCCAAACTCCAGTCTTTCGGCTACAGTTTGCTTAAGTGATTGTCTGGATCCCAGCACCTGACTCGGTGAATCCGCCATCGGGACTGGGGAATCGGGACAACCTATCTCCGATCCTAAAGATCTGTCGTAAATCTCCCGCTTCGGAGATGCTATCAAAATCTGGTCAGAGGGCTGTGATATGCGAGAAGCTACGGAAACGTGGCTGGGTGTCCTGATCTTGCCGGCAGAATTTGGCAAGGAGACCGGCCCCCTCAGCTGATCGCAATTCGTATTTGATCCATCTTTCGGTTTATCGGAACGATTCGCGGGCGACATGGGCCTCGATTCGTCAGCAGGAATTGGAACACTCTGGAGAACTCTCCCACATGTGGTAGAATGTCCCGTAGGAAAATTCTCAGGTGGAACGATGGTCAACGGAGAAGTGACTCTCTTCAACCTGGCGGGTGACATGACTCTAGGACTGTGCACTGGAGTTCCGGTTTTGACGATATTTTCCGGACAGTTGGCATGCCTGGGTGACGAACCCACGTACGACGTATTGGGACAAGGAACCCTTGACACCTCATTAATACTTTCCACTTTGCTTGTACCTCCGCGAGCTGTGGAATGGTCCATTGGAGACCCATTAGGTGGAAGAATGGTCAACGGCGAAGTAACCCTTTTCAATTTCGTTGGAGATAGAACCCTGGGGCTTTGCAACGCCGAGTTCTTAGGTCCAGAATCCATGCAACATATGCTGGGACAGGTTCCCTTCGATCTATCGTCATCGTTCGACCGCTCGCTTATTACTCCATACGCGGGTGGATGTCCTGGAGATGAATTCTCACCAGCGTTGACGGCCATCGACGAAGTAGCATTCTTCAGTCTCGTTGGGGACATGACTCTGGAACCCTTCATTGGGCTTCCCGTTTCGGCAGAACCTTCGGGATGTGACAGACAGTTGGGGTTTTTAGGACTCTGACTCACGGAGGACACGTTAGAAGGTGAACTCCTGGACCCATCATCCACATTCTCGACGTTGGCCCTCAGCTTCGCCAGATTACTAGACAAGGGAATGTTTGGCGAGCCTCGTTGAATGTGAGCTACATCTTGGCCCAAATTGTTGCCACCGTGTTGGTTGACATTTCTGTGACTCGGTGAACTCTTGTCCACTGATGATGACTTATCTTGACGCGGGGATGTATCCTGACAAGACTCTGCTGATTTCGTCTTTTCTGCCAGATTCTTGTCTTGATGGGCATCTTGACAAGATGGATCTTGGAAAATCTCGATCTTCGCCCTTTCTGGACAAGGAGACTTTGATTCATAAAACTGATCCTGATACACCTCCGTGGGAACACCTTTCGTCGAAGGCGTTTCATCATAGATCCTATCCGCTTTATTCTGCACGTGAATCTTCGGAGAAACGGGATAGGGCATTCTCTGGGATTCCTGATTGTTTTCGTAAATCTGGTCTCGCCGGTCGTTCAAGCTATCACTAGGAGACGTCCTGGGGGAGTTCAGGTAATATTCTCCACTCTTTGAGCTGCCGGGGGAGAACTCGCTTTTCTGGCTGGAGTTGGGCGTGTAGCTGGAGTCTGCATAGTCTCCCGATTTTTGACTGGAGCTGGGGGAGTACTTCGGTGACCTTCCTACTAGAGGAGCCCGTTGATTCTGATTGACGATCAGCTGACGAGTGATCTTCACTTGGGCTGACACAGGAGTCAAATTGAACCCAGAGTCCGAGCTATAGTTTCTATTCGTTTCGATCTTCTCCAGATCATTCCCATTCTCGTAGAGCCTGTTCCCGTCGTTATAGTTTTGGTTTTCTTGAACATACTGTTCCTGCCGATATTCCTGGATCGTTCTGCTGACGTTCTCTCCAGGATAGTTGTCCAGGTTCTCTTGATTCTCATAATTGGCGAATTCCACCTTTTGTGGAATCGCTGGAAGCGGTCTATCCATTGGATGCACCGCTCTGGGTCTTATCAGAAACCTCTCTCCGGGAGGTGCCGATATCCTTCCTGAAGGACCATGGTTTCTCAAGAAACGAGGCTGGACGTGCTCCTGAAGACTATGTTTTCGCTCTATATTGCACTTTCTCTCGTCGCCGCGTCGTTGCTTAAATTTCCTCAAATCCGGGGAACCACTGATAATGTTTTGGTCTATCCATTTGTCTTCGGGGGTGATCGAGTTTATGGAGGAATCGGCAGGACAGGTCCTCGGAGATCTGGTGTCGCGTATCAACGATCGATCGCTCTGCAGGAAATGATCAGGGGTGCTCGTGATAATTCCCTGTTCCGGAAACAGCTCCTGCTTGATCTCGTTCAACCGCTCCTCGATCAGAGAGCTGTTCAAACTCGTGTCCAGCTTCACGTTCCTCTTAATGTCCTCGTTCAAGTTCATACTATCCGGGGATCTCGTATAATTCCCATTCTGCTGATATTGACTGAAGTGACGCTCGTCGCGCCGCTTACGCTCTTTCTGTTCCCTCTTGTAATCCTTCCGCGAGTCCTTAGGCGAGAACAAACCAGGAAGCAATCGTCGCAAGCCTTTCCTCTTCTTCTCGTCCTTCGGCGGTTTGGAGCATCCAGCTTCCATTGCGAAAGCTTTAATAAGATTCGCGTAGCCGTCTCGATTAGAATTCCGCCCAGAACTCTCCGATCTATCCTCAAAATCTGGTCGCTTTGATGATTCTTTATCTTTACCTGCAGAATCTTCCTGGGGTCTTTTCGATCCTTCAGGATCTTGGAAGACTTCGGGGTTCCGTCCTAACTTCTCTCTCTGTTCGGTACCAGGATCATCATCGGCCTGGCACCGTTCAACTTGAACTCCAGCACTCAAATTGCTTCCGACTTCTGTCTTATTTTCTACCTCGACCTTTCCATCCGCGTCGACATATTCTGCTTTTCCATCAACATGCTCTTCGTTCTCGTTTCCTTCCAAGGTGCTGGAATCGCCAGTCTGCCAGGTTTTCACGGAAGATTCCTTCAAAGTGCTATCCTGCGACGCGTTCTCGCCCAAAGTATCCAAGCTCCTGTCCTCGGCTTCTTCGATGTCCTCGTCGATGGCCTTGATCCTGTCCTCTAGACACGAATCCGAGTCCACCGTGCTGACGGTATCTTCCAGAACCTCCTCAAGACTCTGTCTACTGGCTTCCTCCGATTTCTCCTCGGATCTCCTGCGAATCCGATCGATCAGCCGTTTGCCACTCTCCTCGACGATGCTCTCGTGAGATGAAATACTTCCTAACTCCTCGATGTAAGACGACTTCGAGGACTCCGAGGAATTGGCCTCCAGGTGGACGTCCAAGAATTCACCGGACCACCTATTCTCCACCTCGGACACCCTCTCGCTGTATTTGGACTTCTCGTTGCCGCGACTTACCTCGGATCTCTCCAAATCCGACGCATAATCTAGATCCGTCTCGAGGAGCCTCTTCTCCTCGATCCTGAGCTTCTTGTCGAAATTATGCTTCTCCAAGAATTCCTTGTCGAAGGAATTCCTAGTGAAGTCCTCGTGCAGATCCAAATCCCTGGCCTTTATGGGACTGTTCTGGAGTACTGGCAGCTTCGACTTGTACGTCTCCGCGGTACTGGCATTGATCTTCGTCTGCAGATTACGTTGGAGTCTTTCGATCTCCGACTGGCTCTTTTCCAGACGATCTAGAGCTTCGGTTTTGATGTCTACCACCTTCCCTGGGCATTTAGGTCTCGATTCGGTATCCGAAATCAACTCGTCCTCCGTCTTCTTATCATATGGAATCACCGCACCTTTCCCTTCTTCGTCATGGTGACTTCTACCCACGTCTTCTATCTTTTCTTCCTCAGCATTCTTTTGCTCTTTCGGCACTTCCTCAAGTTCTTTGGGGTCTTCCTTAGATTGGTTTACTTCTTCCACCTTTTTCCCGGGTTCCTCGTCTCCTCCCTCGCCTTTTTCATCCTCTTTCTTAATTCCTGGCTTGTCCGGGACTTTCGGGGGGACCTTCTTGGATCTCAAAGTCACGGCCTTCGAGAACCGAGCTCCCTTGACGAGGCTTCCGATGGAGGAGCTCTTCGTCAGTTTGATCGGGCTGATCCTGTTCTCGTTAAAGTTTGCTGCCTTCTCATTCTTCTGGTCCCTCGAGACCGCTGTCTTGGTGGGACTGTTTGGCAGTTTCCTCTCGAAAGTCACTCCGTTTCCGAATTTGATCTTGGTCCTTGCCCCAGGATTCTCCCCGACTTCCGGATCGACCGCCTTACCTGCAGATGACTTCTCCTGGGCAGCCTTGGATTTGCTCAGGAACCTCTTCTTCAGATCGGAGACCTTCCTGGAGGTTTCGCTCTTCGTCAGCAGAACCTCCCGCGAGCCGCTCGTCTCCAGGACGATCTTCTCAAGGACCACCTTGTCCACGGAGAGGATCCGCACGTCCTCGACCGCTGCGTCGTCCTCGGAGACCTTGGGACCAGCATCGAATACCTCGTGACCTTGACTTCTGCGCCACCTATCCTGAGACCCCGTGGCGGCTTCTTCCATCCTCGGGGGTCCACCAGCTCCTTAAGGACGCCTGCAATGCAGAAAATAATAGCGCTCAAACAGGGCTCATGACCTTACTTGAGAATGATCCAACCATAAACCATGCCCTAATACGGATAGGTACATAAAAAAGGGGCTGCTTTTATTTTATTAATTAGATCCATTTTATCGCACAATAGGGGTTACCTATCCTCAAATCAGTCTCAAACCAAATTCGCAAAACTCATGAATATTAAAATAAAAATTACTAATTACAGCATTGGCGTGTAAAATTGTTCATCGTTGCGATAAATCACGAACCGTTTGATATTCCCCTTAAAAAAGAAAAATCTTCGGAACGGCAATAAAAATCAAACCAGGTTGATGAAATAATCCGTATTAAAAGGAAAACATGAAAAATAAAATGAAAGTTATTTGGCTAGAATTATTCTAACACCTGAAATTAAGATTACTCAAATTGTACCGCCGTTTAATCATATCACATGAGTGTACCTGTACTATCAATATACCCAATTTCTCCGCTGAAAACATTTCATTCGTTAGAACTTAACTTAAGTGCAATAATGTTTCTATACTGTTAAAAGTTTCGTAAGAAATAAACAATGATAGTAGACAGTCAAAACCAAGGTACGCGATGAAAGCGATCTTGAATTTCAGAAACGTTGGAAAGGGGAACATGGGATTGGAGGGATTGAAATGATACGGGGAAACAGTTTGGGGAAGCATTCTCTACATTCTTAAGCTTCCTTGTCAGTGCATGTAGATGCATCTGCAACCTTGACTCAGATCGGTGCACCAGGCAACACAGGTGCGAGAAGATGACCACTCATCGTACCGCGTAATTACCGGTGGTCGTTACAGATTTTTCCGTCCCTCGAATGAGAAATCCTTTGGGAACCAGCAGGTAGAGAGATCTCATCTCGGGGGTCAAGGCTACGAGTAACTTCTCCTTAAACGGCCGTCAAAGGATCCTTAATGCCATTTTACCGTTCCAGGACTCTTAGCTGCCCAGGACGGGGGAGCGCGAAACTAAAGGGCAAATCTTAAGAACGTACCTTGTCGAATTTTTTAGATTTCCCTTCCATCCGCGATGAAAAACAGACTCGAACGATGCGGTCTTAAGCCCCGACAAATTTCTCGGTTCCCTCCGGTAACGCAATATTCGCACTTGCGGTTTGTTCATTGCACCGCCGCCGCGGTTACGCTGACCAATACTTCAATTCCGCACTTATGCCTACCCTCGACTGGAATTGCATTGCGCTAACTTCTGGTAGGATTTCACGAGCCCTGATCCCTAGGGGAGAACTTCTCCCTTCTGCAAGACCGAAAACTTATTTGTTCCCATTCATCCGGTAGACAATTCAGATTGGAGGAAATTATGAATTACCAACAAATTATCCTAACGCAATATTTGCACCTGCGGATTGTTCATTTCACCGCCGCCGCGGTTACGCTGACCAATACTTCAATTCCGCACTTATGCCTACCCTCGACTGGAATTGCATTGCGCTAACTTCTGGTAGGATTTCGGTTCCTAGAGGAAAATTTCTCCCTTCTGCAAAACCGAAGACTTATTTTCGAGCCTCGATCCCTAGGGGTAAAATTTCTCCCTACTGCAAGACCGAGAATTCATTTGTTCCCGTACGTCCGACAGATAATTCAGATTGGTGGAAATTATGAATCACCGAAAAATTATCCTAACGCAATATTCGTACTTGCGGAGTGTTCATTGCACCGCTGCCGCGGTTACGCCGACCAATACTTCAATACCGCACTTATGCCTGCCCTCGACTAGAATTGCGCTAACTTCTACTCGGATTTCACGAGCCCCGATCCCTAGGGGAAAATTTCTCCCTCCTGCAAAACCGAAAACTTATTTTGGAGCCTCGTTCATCAGACAGACAATTACTCCTAGATCGGTGGGAATTATGAATTTCCAAAAAACTATCCTAATGACTAGACTAATCTAACCTATTTGTGAGACCCGTTCATCGGACAGAAAATTATTCTCAGACTGGTGGGAATTATGAATTACCAAAAAATTATCCTAGACGGGTACTCGATGATTTACAAAATATTCATTGTGTTATTTCTCCCTGGTATAAATTTCCCTTCGTCAAAGCCCGGGACATTATTCATCAGCTATTATTTAGAGATTATTAGAGATACACGGTGCTTCCATACGTGGCCGCGTTCAAAGGCGTTCATTAAATCCCGGCGGGATGGACATTATGAATAAAAATCGGAAAATGACCATATATTTTGTTGGTAACAGAAGTACTTAGTCACGTTAGAATAGGGGGTTTAAGAGAGACTATAAAAATTATGATTTAGGACCTATCGAAGGGTTCATTTTTCCTTAAACACGAAAATATATTCGCTGTCCGTTACTATCAAATTAAAAAAAAAAAAAAGGAATCATAGGAAACAGACAAATTGTTTCCCATCATCTCTTTAAATGAACAAACGAAAGTATTCCTTGACTTGAAAAGCCTTTGATCATTGACAATGCGTACGTTGGCCGTCAAAATGTACCGAACCCGAATACTCGGTGCAACTAGACTAAACAACTTCACGTACGAGGTCATCGGGTTTACGGTACGGTATGTACTTCCTCCGAACTGGTACCGACCAAATGCCAATTCGTCACGGTTAGTGCCGGGAACAAGTTCAATGGACCAAGTACAACACACCCAAGAAAACAATTTTCTCATTTGTAATTGAATGGAACCTCTAATTAGGAATTCAAGGGCTAGCACTGAAAGTAAACGCGAGGGAAAACGTTTCTCCAATCCATCAGTTAAATGAAAAATCTTAATGCAACGCATATTAAAAATTGAATTGAAAGAACCTGAACGATAAGTACTCAAAATCGAAAACGTTCCTACAATCCATCAGTTAAATGAAAAATCTTAATACAACGCATGTTAAAAATTGAATTGACAGAACCTGAACGATAAGTACTCAAAATCGAAAACGTTTCTACAATCCATCAGTTAAATGAAAAATCTTAATACAACGCATATTAAAAATTGAATTGAAAGAACCTGGACGATACGTACTCAAAATCGAAAACGTTCCTACAATCCATCAGTTAAATGAAAAATCTTAATACAACGCATGTTAAAAATTGAATTGAAAGAACCTGGACGATACGTACTCAAAATCGAAAACGTTCCTACAATCCATCAGTTAAATGAAAAATCTTAATACAACGCATGTTAAAAATGGAATTGAAAGAACCTGAACGATAAGTACTCAAAATCGAAAACGTTTCTACAATCCATCAGTTAAATGAAAAATCTTAATGCAACGCATGTTAAAAATAGAATTGAAAAAACCCGAACGATAAGTACTAAAAATCGAAATAAATAATCTATCCGCTATAATTAGTGGAAGAAATAACTGATGTATTGAGTTACTCTTCTCGAGTCTATACTGCGAGATAACGTAATTCTGCTATTCTCGGATGTCGCTATTACAAAACAGGTAGATACTGGTGACGTACCGAATGTTACGATCATTTACGCAAATATACGTGCACCGAGACTCTCCAGGCAAGAGAGCACCTCGACGTTGTACCGTAATACTACATTACCTCGATACGATTGAATTTCACCGACAAACTTGCGCAACTCTGAATCCCGACGTGCTTAGCACGAGGCGATAAATTATTTAAACTTATTGGAACAATTAATTATAGTCGATCGCAGTCTTGCGCGGGAAATTTGTATCCTTAAAATGCTAGAGGAAACATTAAAAAAAACCCTGCCCCGTTTTAAAATGATTTATTAATTCTTTCTCCGAGGTAAAATGCTACACCTATACACAAATTGAAATGGTACCTAAATCATCTTATTTCTATTAAAAATCATAAAACAAAGGGGAGTTCTGTACCAAGAAAATCGAGTTAACAAAACCAGAATTCCAATTATTTCTACTGGGTTGGATTGTTAAATATAACCTTACTATTTTTTTTCGTTCAAGGTATCAGATATTTCCAGTATAGTATGTTGTGTATCAAGTGTGTATAAAAATGTCGTTTTTACGAAGGTGGAGTTGAGATCACGAGTCAACTGCTTTGCATGTAACAAAAGACGCGTTTTCAAAGGAGATTGGACAACAAAAATATTATCTAGTTGCATTAATACTTCTTTTTTAAAGAGAGATTTTCAGAGAAAGAAAATTCCCGAGAGAATTTCTGGGTAAAAGACAAAGAATTCTCAACTAGAAATGCAACTAATAATTTAAGAATCTGAGTAAGATTACCACATGTTCAACCAGACTTCAGTAACCAGAGTTGTCTAGTTATATTAACCAGACCTTCTAATTAATAACTAGAAATCTGTTAACCAGGAGCATCTGATAACGTTAACCAGAACTTTTTTAACGTATTAAATTTAGTCGAGACAAAAAAGTGTATTTTCGCAATGTTTCTCCGTAAACCTCGTCAGCTTCGTTCGAAAATATCGAACCTCCTCATTTTTCGATTGGCACTTAATTAAAATAAAAATCCGACTTCCACCAGAAATGTTTACTCCTTTCAGAATATAACTAATGTCACTGTGTAGATTGAATGGCTGGCGTGCAATCTGGGAAAATTACTCTGCTACATGTTAGGCAGTTATTATTCCAATTATCGTCGGTCGCCATCGTAATTGGCAAGCAGGGAGTAAAAATCAAGAGCATAAATGCACGTGGAATGGGCACAACGCGGTACCCGACTTTCATGTCGATGAATTCCAATTTCCGCGCCTCCCGGAAAACAATGAGACCTTTTTCCAAAGGCGGAAAGAACTTTTCTCCGTTCCGAGCTCTCAAAGTGACTATTTTTCAGGCCGAGAAGCGACACGAATGCCTTTTTTATATCCACTCGTCTCTTCCGCGGTCGTAATGTCCGCTTCGCCGGGATCCCGCATTTTCTCCCACTTTTCCAAACTCATCCTTTTTTCATTCCAATTATTCTCGTTACCGCGCCGAGTGCCTAAAAAACAGGCATCGGGTACCCTACGTATTTTCTGCCGACCCGGC